CTTGACTATATATTTCCACTTTTTGATTCGTTCGCTCTGATTCCGGACTAGGGGCATAGTAACTTTACTAGGTGGCAAGGGTAAGATAGATATAACCTTAGCATTCCAAACACTTGCAGAGTCCGATCGTTTCTTCTGCCAAACAATCTCCACACTCAACTGCCCAGTGTCGCCATAATATTTCTTCAGCCCCGCAGCTTCTTCTAAAGTCCACCTCGTTTCAGCTCCGCTTTCCCACATATCCGGACAATATCCATTATCAGCAGCACCAGCCGTCCAGGAAAGCTTTGGCATTCCACTATACAAGTACGCCTTTTCCACAGCGCATAGTGGGTAAAGGATTTACGATCTTATGAGGACACCACCGGTATCAGCAACTGCCATCGACACAATGTCTAGCGCACGAAGCTCAACAACTCCCCCTTCAGTAGAGGAGGAGCCGAGGAAAAAAGGTGTGTTTTTGTGTGTTGAGTGTTGAAATGAAATCGTCATTGCCTCCCTGGAGTTGCAAGTGAAGGCGATGTTGCATTTTCCATGTATATGATATCCACCAGCAGCTGACACTACATGCAGGTTCCCGAGGAGGGAAACGATCAGTCACACACCTTAGCAAGGCGCAACTTGCTCGCAAACGCGCCAATGACCGCGAGGCTCAGAGGAACATCCGACAAAGAACAAAGGAACACATTGAAACGTTGGAGAAGAAGGTGAAGGAGTTGGAGGAATACAACAGGTCCAGTAGCATGGATAGGGTTATCAAGCGAAATAAAGAATTGGAGGATGAGGTCGAGAATTTACGATCGCAGATAGTCTTACAATCAGCTGCAATAGTCCAAGTCAACCCGGAGAGCGCAACAACACCCGGTGAGATGCCAGAGGAGATGCTGATTCCGCGGAAAGGATCGTTGGATTGGTCTCCCGAATCAGAACCATGTCCGTGGCCAGGCGCCGTGTCCCATGATATTGCGGGCTCGAATGGCCCTTACGCACCCAGCACCTCACAGATATATCCTTCAGAATCAGCAGCCATTGGCTACGGAAACCAGGAAATGGAAGCTACACAGCAGATTCACACGTCCGCAGCTGCAGCAGTTTGGGTACGTGTTCCCAAGCGTCTATTCTTTTCAAGATGGCTATCGGATTCGGGTCTTTGAGTTGATCAAAGTGCCTTGGGTTATTGCTCAATCGCTCTACAATTACAAAAATTATTGAGTCTAACAGTATAAAGGAAGACCCCATGGTATTCGGCAATACCACTCAGTCTCTCGCACAGCCTATCTCACAGTCTATATCACAATCAGCACCAGCATGGGCACCTTTCCCAGCAGCCTTCAATCAGCCCTCACGGTTTACAGACCTTCAACCCTCTGGATATACCGAAATATTAGACCAGCCGCCCATTGGAAACGCCACATGCTGGCAATCACAACCCTCAATATATGCGTTAGTTAACTTCTCCGATGATCTCTTCCCACTAAGGGTGTCTTGGGAGTGGTTTGCTCTCTTTTGAAAGTTCAACACTCGCGAGGCATTTCTAAGTCCCATTCTTACCATACAAGACAATACTGACGTTGATATCTTGATTATAGGTGGCAAATTTCTACGAAACTCAAGGCTCCCGTGACTGTTACTGACCGGCTCATGATCAGTGTCATACAATCGCAACGTCATCACGCTTTTCACGGTGGCGATATTGAATCTGGGGTAGAATACCCCTCCGTCAATATATTATTCAATCAGCCAGGGTCGACCAAACCACCTTCATCAGTCACTGAGATCATGGCATGCTACTCTGCCATTCTCTCCCACCGTGGCTTCCCACTCATACCTGAGAAACTGGCCTCTTTCATGTGCATGTACCGCTTTGTGCAATGGCAAATCTCGCCAACTTACGAGACTTATAAAAGGCTACATGACTGGCAAGCTCCAAAACCTTGTCAACTCCTTATTCCTCACCCGGCTTGGATGGACTTACCGCCATGGGGAAAATTCCGCGAGAAGGTCATTGAAAATCAAGCTCGTTACGATAATCCGGAATTTCAGAACGACTACGCCTCGAACTTTAGTGTCAACTTTCAACATGATCCAATGAAAGCATTGATCTTTGAAAATGGGCAGATTATGGTTAGTCCTCTGATGGACCGGCACTTAAGTGACATCAATAATATGAGCATGAAGAAACCTTTTGCGGACAAGTATCCTGAGTTTAGAGACGTTTGCCGATTTGAGGAGGTTTGAGCTTCTAATCCTTTATCGATTTCCTTTTTCCTTTTTCCTTTTGTTGTTATTATGGGTCGGGTCACATACGGGGTCAACTATGGGAGTTAATTCTCCCGGGGTGTTTTGGAACAATGTTTTTATACGGATATCATATAAAGGATGGGGTGTTTTGTCTTACGGGTTTGAGCAGGATTTAGGCGTCTATGGGAGCCGGAGCAGTCAAGCTGGAGCCTTAAAGCGCTCGCTTCCGGGGGTCAGGGATTGATCTATGGTGGGAGGCAAGTCTTTGGAATGAATGGATGGATGGGATCCTTCATGGTCTGGAGTTTTGTTTTTATCCCAAACTACTACGTGCGTGTCACAGGAAAAGTTAGTTATATTTGATTGAAATATATTAGATGGTTGAATGAAATAAATCGGAATGGCTTAACACCTCAAAAAGGTGATGCTGGTGAGATGGCTTGAGGGATTTGGGGGCATTAAATTTCAAAGTGTCTGTCTATTGATTGCTAGTCTTTTAAATGGATGTCCATTTACACTCTTTCGCAGATCTGATGCTCTCTTAACTAGACAGGGTTCAAGGTACTTTGGGTATTTCATATTAGAATCGCTGAAGACCACTGATTCAAAGCTCATTTAATTTATATTAAACGTATCCACCCACTTCCGTTTCCGCTTCCATTTTGGTAAACAATAAATAATATCAAAAGCCAAGCCATCGTATCTTGGCGTCTACTGTCCGGGATGTATATAAAAATGCTCGCTTGCTCTATAATCACAGCCAGGCGAGAATGAACATAAGCTTGAGAGAAAGACAGATGATGATAATTATGTCTATGTCATGATGCTGGGTGATAGATATATGGATATAAAAGTCGGTAGGTCATGACTTTATGGGTTCGTCAAGTGACGTGGAGTGGAGTATGGAGTAGGAGTGGGAGTGAGAGTGGGAGTAAGAGTGAGTATACGGTAGCTCGAGTTGTGTACAAAGGAATGGAATCAACACTTGAGCGGCTTTTGAGCGGAATACGAGTCTACGACGCATGGATATTTTCGGCTTTTGCGGTGTTTGATAGATACCTAGAGAGAATAGATGCATTAGCCCAAGATACGTAGAAGTACATCGACGTCAGCCCAGCCCAGCCCAGCCTTCCCGTTCCTATTCACGTCACATCGCATCTAGCGTGCACTGACGCCCGCGCCGTTTCTGTGAGGAATGACATGTGGGTTCTTTCTCTTCCGTTCCCAGAAGTACCGAGTTGAGCGAGTTTTGTTTTGTTAAATTAAAAAATGTTTTCTCTGGACTCGGTGGGGAATTTTAGGTTTTTTGCGAAGTACCTCCGTATGCAGGGCAGGCTGGGGTGGGGTAGAGTGGGTGGGGGTGTTTGGGTAAGGGTATGGGTGTTGGAGGGGTGATCACTTCCTACTAGCTAGTGTGCATTCGGTGAGACTTTGGTAAGATCATGCAGGGTCTTTGACTAAAGCGAAGAGGTAACTGTTTGGTACTGGTGGCAATGCCTCTGTCGCTTACCTAAGCTACGCTAAGTCACGTGACTAGAGCTTTGACCAAACCATGATCCCCATATGCTGACAATGCGAGAACCTTTGATTTAGTTGTCCGATTGTATGGTTCCTTAAATACTCCGGGCCGCGAAAAAGTAATGCTATTTTCCTCTTAGGGTTTGAATGATACGCATCATATGCTTTGAACACTCCATAGTGCACACCCTATTTAGCCAATCAAGTGTCTGGGAATAAGGTGTAGATCTGCGGAATGCGGAGGTACGAAGTAGCAGATCACTGGATTATCACCGTAAATCCTCACTATATAAAGAACGACTTCTCAGCGGCGTGCTCAGGTAAGGTAGGCACGAGTTCTGCTTGATTCCTAAGGTACACAATGAGGCAAGAAGAAGCAAGGTAAGGTGGCATTGTAAAGTTTCTTGTTTTGTAACTTCTGTTATATTCGTTTTTTATTTTCACGCGAGGGGAATGGGGAGGTTTGGAAGTAGCTTGCATTTATTTATTTCATTTATCTATCTATTCGCTTTTTACATACGTTAGGATAGAGGGCGTATGATACGTACTACTCCAATCATTGCAAAGTAATGCAATATTGCCTGTCCAAAGTCATCATATGCAGCCCTTTCATGACATTACATTACACAACTCTTGACGCGACCCAACTCCTCCCCTTTATTCAAACGCCAAAGCTATTCGTCTATTCTTTGACGCAATAAGAAAATTCAAATTCTTTTGTTGCACATCACGCTTTAGCGCTCTTTCTTCCCCCACCTCTCTCTCTTGGTCATTTTCGTTAACTGCTCGCTGGTGGCATTGCAGAATCATGTAATGAATAGGGAAATGTTATAGCAGTTATTCATCGCTATTGTTGTTTCGCGACTGTAGTAGAATAGCTGGCTGGCTTTGTTGCATTTCGCTGATGCTGCCTCGATACGAGTTGGCTGCGGATGGGGTATAGTAGCGAAGAGAGGACCGAACCATGCGAGTGAGTGAATGTTGCAGCTCTCTGAGGGAACAAGCGTTCCTATTGTTCTTGTCGGGTTATTGTCAAGTGACAGACAAGATTTATTATTCTGAATGGCTATTGTTCGAAGACAAAACATGATGATTGAGTATTTCAGAATGATGTTATTGTCAACCTTTTATCTCTCTTATAAACCTCGACATCAACAAAACTCACCTCCTCACATCGCTTTTCCACACCAGAACTACATATCCATCAGCGGTTCCACCAAGAGATCCAACCAACAACTAACATGAAGTTCTTCACAGCACTTTCCGCACTCGCCAAACTCGGCCTGGTGCATGGACAGGGCAACATGGTTCCTAGTTCCGCATCTAACAACAAGGTCGATGGCAAGCCATCCGTGCAACGCGATATCGCAAATCTGACCTTCTACACCGTCGAGTTCCTCCCCAAGGCCCCTATCCTTCGATTCGAGAGTACTCTGGTGATCCCCGCTTCCTCACCAGATGCCTCACCAGACGGGGATGTCCAAGCTTTGTGGCCCGGACTACAAACAGACACGCTGCTGCAAAATGTCGTCACAAACGTAGGCGGCGGCCCCCACGAGTGGTATCTCCTACCCTTCTACTGCTGCCACCCAGCCGGAAAGCTCACCGCCCAGAGGCGTATCTACCCCGGGGACTTACTCACAAACAGCTATATTTGGGACATGGCGCACAACAAATGGCTCGACACCTGGGCCCTGACGCCCGGACCCGAGGGTAGCAAAGCAGGCCTCGCGGCTTTCCAAGGCGGTCTGACATTCGACCAAACAACCGCGTCGAAAGAACAGAGCGGATTGGTCCCAAAGCCTTACGACCAACCCGTCCTCGCGATTGAGCTTCAGGGGCATGGGACTTGGGATTTCGGTGCGGTGACGTGGCGCAACATCATCATGGAGGCGAATACCACGGAGACGGATTGGTGTACCATGGTCACTACCGACAATCCGATGAAGTTGACCACTTCGCCTCCCGTGGTGCGCACTGAAGGGAACGTGACCACGTGCTACATTTCTCAAATGACTTTCGAATCGCCTACTGATAAGAAGGGGTCTCGATGATCAGGAGGGATCTGAGTAGTTAGGTGAAGAGTGCGTTCGGAAGGAAGGCTGGAGCCCCGTCCTTGCTGGCATGGATCATGCACTTGAGGAGGACGAGAGGGCGTGAGAGAAGAGTTGTTTGATACGACACTTGAATATATTTTTCTGTCCATGATTCCACCACCAATACACTTGTAAATTATGATTTTTATGATTCCGTGATGTTTATGCAGACTTGTGACTGGAATGGAATATACGTAACCGTACCAATTTGAACTTTAGAAGTGAGGCTTTGATGGATTACTAAGGATCTCTTAATCATTCTATCAAACTTTTGCTGAGCTTCCGGGAGGGAGAAGTCCGGCACTGATTTGGTCAAGCCTGGCAGTTGCGGATAACATGCGAAAGCGTGAAACTTCTCAAGATATGTAGGAAATTATGAAGGGGCCCCAATATACTCCGTGATTTGGTAGACTTTAGAATTATGGCGAGACATTTGACTGCGACCTTGTACGATACGAAGAGGTATTCTGTATAGGAAGTGAAGTCGCCGTCGTCGTCGTCATCTTCAGGGCAGGGCAGGGGCAGGGATAGCTCTTAAGCGAACCGAGGCATCGGATCCCTGCAGAAGTCTCAAAGTTCCGTTGCCTCCCCTTTCCAAACATCCGTCCATCCCATCTCACACGATTTACATACATCCCACATAATTCCCCACTAACATGTAAGGCACAACTGCAGCTTTATACGATTTATACAATTTTACAGGTGCCGAGTACATACGGAATGCTAACAACAAGTCCAGGGCAAACCGACCAAAAGTCGCCGAGATATTAGCCCATACCGCATATCCAGACACGATATGGAAACTTACCCCTACGCAAAGCGGACAGCTGCCTGTAGCTTCTACGCGGGGAGGGCCTATCAAGATTGATTGGGAGGTGCATGGGCATGGGGATATCAAACTTGTGGTGAGTGAGCATCTCGTCTTGGAGCAGAGCAGAGCAGACGGGCTGGTACGGAGGAGATACACGTGATGTTAGCTGACTTCTTTCATACTGTAGTGGATCATGGGCCTTGGGTCTCACAAGGTATGTTAACCTGATGAGGTGTACGAGAAAACCGGTTGATGAGTGGTTGTTAATGTGGTATAGTCTTCTTGGCAGCGGCAAACGTTGTGTTTTGGGCATGAGGAGGGAGACAAGTACTCTTCTCTTATTTTTGATAATCGAGGTAGGTCACCTGACTGATATACTTGCTCTAACTTCCTCACCTGTGTTCTTCCCATTTATGCGCGGCTGATATGATATACGTATGTAACAGGAATGGGCAAATCTGACAAACCCCTAATGCGCTACTCGACCTCTGAGATGGCCAAAGACGTCCTCGAGCTCGTCGACCATTTAGGCTGGACCAAAGAGCGCCAGCTACACATCACAGGTGTGTCGATGGGCGGCATGATAGCCCAAGAACTAGTATATCCCCCCTTTTCTTCCCTTCCTTCCCCCTTTAAGTCATAAACAAAACCACACCTTCCCTAACTTAACTCGAAACTTTTCATCCCATCTCACCTTATCTTACTTACCTGTTACCAGGGCCTCCTAATCCCCAACCGCATCTGTACCCTAAACCTAATATCCACCGCCGCCTTCATCAAAAACACCACCACCTACCTCGAAAACCTGCGCACCCGCATCATGATGTTCGTCCCCAAGAGCCTCGACCGCGCCGTAACCGACTCCGCGCAGCTCCTCTTCTCCCCTCGCTGGCTCGACGCCCCCGACACCTCGCCCCTCCCCACCTCCTCCACCCCCCTCGCCATCCTCCCTCCCAGCGGCTCCTACCCGCGCTTCACAACAAACTACGAGCGCTTCGCCGCGCAAGAATTAACGAAACGTCTAGACGCAGACGGGTTTCCGAGACGCGGGTTTATGATGCAGGCGATTGCTGCCGGGTGGCATTATAAGAGTCCAGAGCAACTGGGGGAGCTGGGAGATCGGGTGGGGAGGGAAAGGATTGCGGTGGTGCATGGGACGGAGGATCGGATGATCAGTGTGCCGCATGGTAGGAAGCTGATTGAATGGCTGGGGGTGGAGGGGGTGAGGGGGGTGGTGAAGGAGGGTGTAGGACATATATTTATGCTGGAGGAGTGGGAGTGGCATAATGTGTTTTTGGCGGGGAGGTTTGAGAGTGGAGAAGCGTTGAATGAGGGGGTGGGGAATGAATGAATGAGCAAGGGGGCTGATCTGACAGGGGAGATTTAGATCAGATGGCTGGGAAGCTTTTTATATTTTTATTTTTTTTCTCGGTGCCCTGGGTTTTCATTTCATTGTCCTCGTATAGTCATAGATTATCCATGAGCAACTGCCCCTAGAGAAACAAGCATCTCGATTTCTCTGACTTTCACTGGTGCACCCCCCCTCTATCCACCCCCCCTCTTTCGGACCCAAAAGCCAGCACTCGCTAAAGCATCACAACACCAACCCCACTTCCCCCTTCATCAATTGTATTCTTCTGATCCACACCCCCAGCAATGGGATTTGCATTATAATTAAACAGATAATAATGCAGCTGTCCATCCCCGGCACCGAACTTCTGCTGTTCCAAGAACAAACTATTATCCATAAGCGTCAGGGCGTTGAAGACATCGAACCTGTATTTCTTGGCTAGGATGAGCGCGTCGTTGACTAGGGCGTTGAGGCGCGTCTTCAGGTCTGAGCGCGAGGCAGAGGGGTCGAGAGCTACTTCGGACGCGTAGTAGTAGAGGTAGGCGGCGCGGATGTTCGAGTGCTTGTCATTGGCTATTACGGAGGATTCGAGGCAGTAGAAGGAGAAGTAGTCGGTCACGGCCTTGGTGGTTGGGTCCTGGGAGGAAGTGAGGGGTAGATGTTAGAATGGATATGATTATGAGTGCGTTTATGGTGTGGTGGGGGGAGGTGAACGTGAACTTACTTCGACGACATAGGACCAGATTACTTGTTGCTCGTACGCAGGGTCGGGAAGCAGCCAGTGCTCAACTTCTTCGCGCGTGAACTGGGGCGCCATGTCGAAAGTTGCCAGATACCGCTTTAGCAGGTCTAACACCGCATCGATATCCTTCGTTTCCATCGGCCGGAGCCCCTTGGTAGCCGTACGGTCGGGCAGGGCATATTTCCGGACTTGGTATTCGGGTTTGCTGTTTTTAGGCAAGGGGCTGAAACCGACTTCGTTGAGCTTCTTCCAGTCAATTGACCTGTGGAAGTATCGGCATGTAGATACAGGCTTTGGCAGTACCACACCACCGGTATAAATTGCTTGGTAGACGCCTTTCAGGTGGCATAGCCGGGTAATTTCTTTGATGAGCAATGGAGCCAATCGCCTGGAGCGAAGCTTCTTGTGTATGACCATGAAGTTGACCTCGGATGCCTTGAGATCCTTATCTCGGACGCGCAACGTGACGGGTATTGCTGATATGAAAGCAACGAGTTTACGAGACACTGTAGCTCGGATACCTCTATGCCAATCTGGAAACCACCCCGGAGATGTGAGGGCCCTAGAATTATTAGGATTGCGCCAAAGTGTCAAGGCTCAGGTACGTACCATTTTAGAAATGACTTCGAGTAGTTGAATCGAAACATGGCCTCGTCGTCCTCTACATAATGCCCATACAGCAAATCATAAACCTCCTTCAATTCTTCATCGCTCGTCAAGTCCACGGTCACCCATTCAAAACCATCCATACTAAGCGGATACGCCTCCTTGCGCACCAGCGCCGGGTCTACCTCCTTAATCGGCCCCTCGACCTCAATCTTAGTCTTGTCATCCAGCCTCGGAACCGGCTGCGTGGACCAAAACTTATACGCGCCCATATCCTTGACATTCTTCCCACTCGACGCCAGCCCCGTCATGATATCCTGCAAATTCATCTTCTTCAACGCCTCGATGGGGCCCGCCGCACCCCCGTCTCCGATTTGTGCTGCCAGGCCCGGATTCATCCTGAGGAGTTGTTCAGCCTGGTCGTTGTCGAGCTTGCCGACTAGTTTGGAGCTGTCTTGTGCACTGGAAGAAGCTTCGCTGGAACCAGAACCACCGACTCCAAGCGCAGCTTTAATCTTCTTCCGTTTGGATTTCTTCTTCTTGCCTGCAGGTGTCGCGTCCTTTGCGTCGGGGTGGACGGTGTCCTCTTCGTCTTCATTCTCGGATTCAACTTGTGCAGTGGTAGTTTTGGATTGTTCGATGACTTCTTTTGCTGCTTCTTGCGAAGTCGCAGGATCTTCGAGTTTGGATTCGTCGGCCATTGTGTAATTTGTAGGTTTTGCGGGGACCTTTGTTGACACCTTCAAAGCTCGAAGTGGGATGGAGATGGAGGGGTTGTTTGCTTGAAACTTGATTGGTGAAACACGTTGGAGACAAAGTGGAGACAGTCACGTGGAATACATGTGCCTGGAGGCGCCAGAAAAGCTATGTGCGAGGTGTGAATTGGGACAGTTCTGTTGCCTGAAAGTATCTACAGATATATTTTAAGCCAATTTAATCATGTACTCGTTATCATCATCCACCTCCAGACTTGAAACCGGCAATGCCCCTCCATCGTCAAGACCGAACGCTTTGAGAGCAGCAAGAGAAACGGTTGCATATGTCAGAACTCTGCTGTGATCTAGAAATAGGTGTTATCGACATCTCTTAAAGATATCAAGGGTAGAACGACTCACGACCGTAGGCAACGACTTCTTGTCTAATAATCTTATTCTCACCTGATTTCCATGTGCTTATGAACGTCCCATCCCCAGTGTCGACTGTTGTCCTTGCTTTCATCTTCCGAAGCAGTTCAAGATTCATTCCCTCGTCCGTCGTGGCATTTGCAGCTGCAGCAAACAGTCCCTCAGAATGGGTCCATGGGATCTCATAGTCGTCTTTTGCATGTAAAATGAACAGCCTCACTCTTTTACTCACACGAACAAAGTTCGCAATTCGAGTTGCAGAAGGCCATTTATCCACCAGTTTGCTGGAGAAGAGCTCAAGAATAGCGGGAGTGGATTTTAGAGGCGATAGCAATGGCAAGTATCCTGCAATGGAGTACCCGGGAAGGAGCTCTGCCAAAGACGTGAAACCGGCTACTAGAACGACGCCTGCGAAATTAACACCTTTCATGGCATAATGTTCCGCAACAGCTGAAGTCACTGCTGTGCCTAGACTTTGACCGAGAAGGACAATTCTGTCAGATGGAACTTTGGCGACCTGAAGAGCCCAATCCACAGCAGCGACACCATCTGTGATCAGGCCTTCTTCGGTTGGAAAGCCAGTGGAAAGACCGAAACCCCGGTAATCAATGGCTAGAATATGGATATTTGAGGTACTCCCGTCGGATAAGGAGCGGTACGAATCAGTTCGCCATCCTTGAGCTACTGTCCCGGCATTCTGGGGAAGGTCAGCTTATCTCATTGTCGGCCGCTCATTATGACATACCCCGTGAACTTGATCCTATTAGCGCGATTCGAGGATAGGTCTAGGATATACTGGATATACTCACAATTGATGATCAACCGCGAATCGGGGTCATCCCTAAGAAGTCGGAATGCGGTGGTTTGGGTGATATCATCTGCCAAACCAGAGGGCTGTTGCAAGATCTCAGACTCATGCTTTGCGTAGAGCCCCAACGGCATCACATGCCAAGCATAGATAGTCTCATGGTCAGGAGTTGTGAAGTTGAAAGGCGTTATCTGATTCTCTGAGGACTGCTTAGAGATGTATCGAAACCGATATGATTACAACGACCTACTCGCAAATCCGAACTGTTCCGGACTATTGACATCTTGTATCCAAGTCATCTGAACTTTGTGTGCATAGAGTACACAGCGGTATGTTTAGCAATGTCACTAGAAACTGGGAGCTGCGACCTACTGTCTCTGAAGCCATGGATTTGTTAGAGCAGTCAAAGCCGCGATGTAAAAGGAGACACTGAGGATCACAGCCCAGTATGCCTTCTTGAAGACCGGGGCCAGAGCGGCCATTCCCACGCAGAGTAGACACAAGATCGAATTGGAAACTATACATGTATGCAATAGTCAGTGCATGTATTGAAAGTCCAGATCAATTGCGAGAGGGTGAAACTCGAGCAGAGCTCTACTCCAGGCAGGAGTATGAGACTTCTTATGTGTGATGACCTGGGTTTGTTGATAGAGGATACAGTATATGATTTGATCACATATATTCGGCGATTAAGGGACTTACAAAACTCGAAGATTATCAGAAGAACTCGTCGACGAATAAATATGATTTTAGTAATTCCTTACTTCCACGTCAGCCTAAAAGTCCGGGACGTACTAGGTGTCTGAGGCCGCTGTGTTGCAAACACCAACAGGTCTCGGCTGCTTGGAGGGTTTTGACGTTCCTCAATCCGCGCCCCTTGCACGCCTCGTGCATGCACGAACTTCCATCCTCAACTACTTTGCGCGACGCGTCAACTAAATCAACGCCAGAGCTGTCGAACAGCAAGCAACAACCACCATGGAGAGGAAGAGAAAACTTCCGGCACGCGGTGCACGAGCTGAGCCCGCCAGCAAAAAAAGGGCGCCCTCAGATACACCAGACGAGCCCAGGCAAACCTCTACCCCAATACCCACACCACCAGTGCAAGAGGAGAGCTTGCCAAAGAGTATTGCACCAGGGAAACCATTACCGACGCTGGAGGTGCCGCAGCCCGAGAACTTGTCCTCGAAGGAGTTCCAAACTGTCTCGGAAAGGTAAGTTAAGTTGTGGAAGCTCTGCTATAACTTATATTGCCGCTGACTCTATTGCCCTGTTGCAGCGGCGTTTTGACAGATTCATTACATCGATCACGACAAAAATGGCTCAGCGAGGGAATATTCGAGAAGTTCTGGACAAAGCCTGTAAAGAAGAAGGGTGTACCAGAGCAGCCGCCCAACAATCCGCCCAAGGACTCCATGACGAAGCTTGGATCCTGCACCATAACCGTTGAGCCGCATATCTTCGAAGCAACAATGTATGCAATCAAAGAGCCTGCAGCTCGTCCTGCTCTGCCACCAGTCACCCAACAGCCTATGTATCGCCCTATAATACAATATGGCCCTCCGAATGGAATGATGCCTCCCCCCACCGCCAGTACCCCCCCCCTACACCCGCCAAACAATTCCCTATGCAGCAAACAGCACAAGCACCACCCAGGGCCCACGATACACCTATGAAAATCGAAAGCCCAACTCCCAATAAAGCAAATCCGCAAGCGCCTTTGGAACCGAATGGCTCATTGCAAACCTTACAAAATGGCCAAGCTACGGCTCACCCACCTCCTAGCGGCCCCCCAAACAACCCACAACCCCCAAATACACCAGCGCCGGCTGAACCTGCTGATAAGAGTAAAGATCCGGTCATACAAATGTTGGCCGAGAGGGCATCAACAGACCCAGATTTAAAGGCACTTATGCGAATAGTAGCAAATGGCCAAGCGTCTGCAGATGAGCTGAAAAGGTTTCAGAGTCACATCGATGATTTGACACGTTTACAAAAGTCACGGCAAGCCCCAACCCAACCAAATCCACCTCTAAACCAACCTCCGCCTTCACCAGCTGTCCCGAAAGTAAACGGCCAGCCCCAAGGGCGACCTCCCGCGCAAAGTCCTACTCCAGCCCCACCACCCGCAGTACGAACTCCCGCCCCTGCCCATTCGCCGGCGCCTTCATATCAAAGCCAGCCACAGGCTCTAAGATCCAAGGGCCCGCTTCCATCTAAGCCCGATATTTCAGGGGTCGTGTTTGAATTTACCGGTGGCACCGGTGACAGATATCTATTTCCAAAATTCAGCATCCTGGAATATCTACCCCAAGGCCAGGTTATTGCATCCTTCCTCATAGTCCGTAAAGGCAGCACAAGCGATTCACCAGCTTACGATCCTGCGCTGGACTACTACCAGCCCATCACCATCCGGTTATATGCCCATCAAGGCCGACAGCTTGAAGCATTGCAAAAGATTGTCGCGCCCGCTGATGAAGTGCGAAGATATATGGATGATATTATGGACAACATGACCAGAGCCGAATATGTGCTTCTGGCCATGCGTCTCCCTAAGGAAACGGAGCAGCCATCTCCTGAGAAGGAGAGTTCGACTGAGAATATAGAGCAGGTGGATAATCAGGTTCTATGGGCTACGACAAATCCTACGCCAGCTGCCGTTGTCAAACCAGCGAAGCGGCTCCTGACCGAGGAGGAAAAGTATCAGGGTTTCATTACTTCGGTTGCTGCGGCTCCTACATGAAAGGGTAATAGAACGCAAAACAAAACTTCATTTCATCCATTGTCACATCGTGACGGAGTTTGGTTATGTATTTCGAAGGAGGCAAGGCAAAGCCGGGGAAGGGTGGCTAATAAGGCGTCATATGATAAGGTCTGGGAATGGGAACAAAAGCTCTCGTGCTGTATTTCTATAAACATTTATATATTGAGAAGAATAGTCTTATGTAATGCGAGGCACTTGGAAGGAAGGCTCGGATTAGACCGTATTGTAGTCACGTGTGCTGACCTTTTCATGCGGGTAGGTAGGTTTCGTCTCGACGGAAATGCTCACCAGTGCATATGCAGCCTTGCTTTTTCACCTTTTCATCTTGATCTGTTACCGGGAGCGATCACATTCGCCTGGTCTTATCTTTTCTATTTCACAAACTACTTCAGTCCCATGTTGTACTACTGCGCGCAAGTGTCATATACTGCTTTGAATGGACCGCATTTCCAACGCTCAAACGAGAGGAATTATTAGACACAGACAGGAAACCACTAGGTGAAGTTCTTGGCATGATTATACATCTTTTGGCCCTTCTTGCTGCTTTTGCTGGCTCTCGTCTGTCTGTGTTCTCAATACACGAGCTGAACTACAGCTTTCATTTGAGTTCGGAATCATCTAAGCATGGATCCTAAAGCTCAAGATTTAGGCGAAGAAATTAGGATTGGAAGCATGGTGAGAGCTTGAACAGAATTTCCCAAAGAGCAGAATCTCCCATAGAATATGGGATATTGACACTAATATTGTATCAGGAGGATGTCTCTGGGCACGGTATATTTTTCCAACTTGGCCCCCGGCTGTCGACCCATGACAAATCACACAGAAGAACATGCCACTATCAAACAGCTGGGCGAAGATCTCGAATCTGCTGTGAAAGCTGGATAGCCTAGGGTTCCTGGGACCCGGTATAAGTGTGTGTACGCATTACTCCTTAGTTGGGAAGAGGATGATCTAGGGGTTATAAGGGAGAACGAGCGCTTGCGGTGCGTAGTGAAGAACACATACCAGTATAGTGTTGAGAGCTATGAAATACCGAGCAGGAAACCGGATGCTGCTTTGAAACGTCGAGTGCTCGAATTCATGGATGACGACGTGGAAGACTTTCTCATGATTGTCTATTATGGCGGTCATGCGAGGAGAGGGAATCAAACGAGCGAAGGGCCGTTGTGGGTCGCGTAAGTAGATCAACATTAGTGGAAAAGCAGTGCTAATGCTGTTGGCAGTAACAGGAAAAGCAAATCAAGCGCGATCCTCCCATCCGGGGTGCAGAGCCTCTTTGAACAGGCCAATGCGGATGTGCTATTACTTTACGACTGTTGTCACTCGGCTGCTATGACTACAGGATGCCATCAAAGCAGCACAAGTGTAACGGAGATCATAGCAGCATGCGGTTTCGAGACCTCTGCACCAGAGGTCGATGAACACTCATTTACCAATGCACTGATTCATACTCTCGTTATCGCCTCCAAAGGTCCTAGCTTTTCGGTTGCTAAATTGACCAGTCGTATTCTAAGTCTGTTGCGATGCTGGACAGCTTCACTTTTGTATAATGACGGTGGAAGCCTCAGACAATATGCTAACGGAGACTGTATTTTCGAGCGACAGTCTTGAAGGACTCCCTTTTATAATATCTTGTATGAGTATAAGAATCGTCGGAGTATTATCCTTTCTCCACCAAAGAATACGCAATCGATATCCAGTGGTTTATCCCAAGTGCACTTGAACGCTTCATCATCCAGCCCCTTGCCACTAGTAGATGTTAGCATCGCAATCGAAAGTTCCAAGGAGCAAAAGTTGCGCAACAAAGATCAGGCCAAATGGCCGCAGGTAATCCTCACCATACGCCACGATTCGGCCCAGCTTGAGGTCGACACATGGAAAGAATACATACATTCTTTTCCAGCAGAGGCCAAAGATATCAAGATTGAAGGTGTCTATGGGAGTTTCTCAACACTGTTGATCGTTCGTATGCCGGTTACTATATGGAATTTGCTGCCTGAAAATGGGGCGTATAGCTTCGTTGACTTTGTCACTTCGGAGAATTTGGCTTTTCAGGATCCTCGATCTGCATACAATGAAGACTACCGGCTGGAGCCGGACTCATCTGGCCCTGCTTTGGATACTCCACAGCATTCAGTAGGACTCTTGGTAGTAATTGACGGCGAAAAGGTTCAGATAGATCCATCTGCTGAAGGTGTTATATCCGACGGACACGAGCAGCCTAATATGCACAACGAATCGTCAGTGGCTGAAATTGTCCTCCGCTCTCGTTCTCACCGTTACGGTTTTTCACGTCACGATTCTTCGAATGTCACTAATCAATCATCCTCTGCTGTGAATTATTCTACGCATATGCATGATCTTTCGAATGTAGATGACCCTTGTTAATTTCACTGGGAAAGGTTTTCGTCATGTGTAAGATTTCCTTTTAATATTATCTGTTTTATGTGCCTAGTCATTGCAGTGTAAAACGTGGACGCGGCAGACAATCTGTTCTTGCTGAACCTTGTCCTGACCACGATTGTGGCCATTATCGCTGTGATATATGTGTGACGGTGCGTATTCAAGTATGAAACGGGGCTTGAGTAGCTTAGTCGACTTATTATTAGTGCTCTTTGTATCATTCTTATATTTCAGATCTTGGAAGGATTTTGGTTAATGTTTCACTTGTGAGAGATGAAATTCTATTCTTCATGCGATCAAGCATGACATAATTGCTCCTCTAAATCATTCAGAATCTTATCAAACGATTATATAAAATATAGAAGAATCCAAAGAAGTAGAAAGAGTTAGTATGACATACTATAAAGCGTTTGAAGTAGTAAATATTTTTATATACTGACTGTTGGGGGTATCCTTGAACACGTGGCTGTCTGGGCCCTACTGGGCTGGGTACCTTAGCGCCACGCTAATGGGGCCTGCACCTGCATATTATGCATCTCCTTTTGCGCCTCATTTTCAGACTTCTTGACACTAACCTAACATGAGATGGAAATTGTCCGGGTCAGCATGAGAAGTGAGAGACTGATCTGATGTTTTGATACGCTCACAACTTGAAAGGAAAGGAAAGCGAGACTGTTTGGAAAGGCTATCCCTGGAGTTCGTCTTCAACTGTTTCCCTACGCACGGCGAAGGGTCGACGGCCTAGGCTTAGAATCTTGACTTGGATTGCGTGGCTTCCGCACAAAAACAAAAAACAGTTCGACCGCAGCAGGAAGCGGATCCCGCACTCGAATCGAATCAGCAAGTGTTCTCTTTTGTTGGAGGTCATGTTCATCGCAAGTGTGATGATGATGCTACGTCCCCATCCACTGTGGCGCACTGCTTGTACACCGGTACTCCTGGGTGGGGCCGAGACCTTTTTAGAAAGCTCCATTCCGATCGACTACTTGTCCAATTACAGCTATCCCTTTAACAATCGTTTTTTAACCTTTGCCCAAGCCGTGAATAATGGCTTACGCAGCTTTGTCGTGGAACCCCCAAACGCGTATTCTGCCAAGCAAAGCCAAGAGAAAATGGAGAAGGGTAGGGGCCGTAGGGCTCTCCATAGTTCGGTTGTTTCATTCCGAAAAACAAACTTGACAGGTTTGGTTGTTTCATTTCATGAAGGGTCATTGAAGGCTTCGCCGTTGTGCGGCTATTCGTCACTCTAGTTCAGGCAAGGTCCTTCTCGTCAGGGAGGTACGAAAGAGAAGCGTATCTGCTGCGTACGCATGCATATATCGAATTATATCCAGATTTGATGTTACTTGCACATTTCTCAATGCGTACTTTCTACTTCGCAATATTATAAAGAGGCTCGGTTTTCACCATTATAATCTTTTCTTCTTCACCCACATTCACTAACACATCTTCTGTACTATTTCATATACTTCCCATCCGCCCGTTGTCCAATCTTCAACCTTCAGCAATCATGGTCTACCTATCTTCTGCAGTCAAGGTGCTCTTCACCGCGGCTCTCTTGGGCGAGGCCATTGCCCACCCGGGCCACGATGTAACAGCAGAAATCGCCCAGCGTAATGCTGCTCTCAAGAACACCAAGCGTGACCTCACTCACTGCAGCGATGCTGTGACCAAGCGCGACAATCAAATCAAGCAGGCAAAGCGTCGACAAGCCGCTATCGAGGCTGCCAGAGCTAAGCGCGGCTTGCCCCAGAGTAAGTCCATCCACCCCGCACCCAAGGAGCAACAAAACTAACACTTATCAGAGCGCCATTTGAACTCACTCAGGGCCCGCAACTTGACAAGCGTTACTGATGCCTCTCATCTCTCGAACCTTACAGTATCGCCCTATACTCCGGGCGTCGAGGAGATAATCTTCAGCAACACCTCCTGCATCCTCTCCGAGGAAGGCGAAGTTGGGCCCTTCTGGGTCGAAGGCGAATACATCAGATCCAACATCACCGAGGACGAGCCCGGCATCCCCGTCATCGTCGACGCGCAGTTCATCAACGTCAACACCTGCGAGCCAATTCCAGAACTCATGTGGGATCTGTGGCACTGCAACGCAACAGGTGTTTATGGCGGTGTTATCGGGTCTGGGAATGGAGACAGTGAAGATTTGAGCAATTTGAACAATACCTTTTTAAGAGGACTCCAGCCTACAGATGAGGATGGTGTGGCCCAGTTTGAGAGTATCTTCCCGGGGCATTATGCTGGCCGTGCTACACATATGCATGTTCTTGCGCATATCAACGGGACGACCTACGCAAATGGGACGTATCAGGGTGGTCAAATTCCATACATCGGCCAGTTGTTCTTCGATCAGGACTTGATTAGCGAAGTCAACACCCTCAGTCCATATGTCGAGAACACCATCGAGATTGTTGACAACGTGGACGATAGGGTTGTTGCGTCCGAGACGGAGACAGGCGCTGATCCGATTTTCAACTACGTATTATTGGGAGACACCGTGGACCAAGGATTGTTCCTCTGGATTGAGATGGGCGTTGATGCCACGGCCGATTATGTGGATGGAGCAACTGCCGCTGCTGAATTGACGTCTGATGGGGGTGTGGAGGTTACGACTACGACTACGACGACGGGCAACAGTACTAACGGAACTGCTCCTTCTGGTGTCCCTTCTAGTACTGCTGCTGCGGATAAGAGATCTGTCTTCAAATTATGGTGATGGACTTCGAATGGGGTTGGAGTTATGTAGACTTTGATCCTGAAGAGTGTAGAGTATGAAGATATCCAAGGATAGTACGGGAACCACAGTCATTACAATTTGATTCGATTAGAAAATTATACAAATACAAAATCTACAGTTCTACTTTTCGTCACTTTACAGCCATGTTAACCGTTTTTCCCCATCTAACGTAGAACTGATAATTAGAGTTTTGAACTTGAATTTCAATTATCTATGTACATTTACGAATAAGTATATAGTATGTCCATAAATAAACAACCTCGCGACCGCATCAACTAGGGGGGTCGCAAGGGCCACCAAGTACGCAAGTGTACAACCATGACTTGCCACATACAGTATCGATAATTCCGCCATTATAAGGACAATCTTTCATGATCGCTTGCAGTGGAAGAGCGCATAGATCTAGCTGAAGAGTAGTCAAATCTCCTTTATAGAAATGTTGACAGTCAGCCGGGGCATCAGCATCTGTAGTATAGCCTGATGTGACATAGTTATTCCCAGCTGGCGTTTGCGGGTCACCGCCTTCTCCCAACCACTTTGAAACCGTGCCATTACAGAAGGAACGAACATTGGGCTGTAGAATCCCAACGAGTTCGTATTCGGATGTGATAGGAGTGGGGCCTTGTTCCGCGTAGCACGAGACTGTTTGGGTGGGTGTGGGGTTGAGGGTTGGGGTAATTGTTGAGAATGTAGTCGTGGTTCCGCATGCAATAAATGTTGTTCCGGCTGTATTGCTTGTTGCTTGTATTGCTACCATTTCATTACCACATGTGCAATATGTAGCTAATGTGGGAGTTGGCCCAAGTGTATTGGTTAACCTTGAACGAGATTAGTATTTCACTTTAGTGAGGAGAGGTATAATTCTCTTACGAGGTGACAGCACAAGCAGTATTGACGGAAGTGGAGTGCGAGGTCAACGAAATAGTCTGGGTGGGTAGAGTCGCAAAGGCACAATGATTCTGTGTTGCCTTGGTAATGGTGGAGAATGGCCCTCTTCCTGCGCAGAAACACGATGATGCTGGTTCGTTGTTCATGCCCATCGCAGTGTTGTTCCCTGCACTACAAATGGGAGCCTGGGTTATCATTGCAGAGGCGCTGCTAGTCCTTGAGGAAATAGTTGGGGCGGAAGATGAGCTTGTGGTGGAGTTTGTTTGAGACTGTGTAGTTGAACTGGTGGATGATCTTGTGGAATTTGCTTCACTGGACGGCCGAATAGATGATCCTGTAGTAGATGCTCTATTGGAGGACCGAGTGGATGAGCTTATGGTAGACGTTACATTTAGCGACTGGGTGGATGAGCCTGTAGCTGACGCTTCATTTGAGGACCAAGTAACCCGCGCATCAGTGGTATCAGCTATAATTGCCGCGAGAATAGATTGCTGCGTGTCGTACCAGGACATGTCATCGAAATCATCGCCGATAATCGTTGCTGTAGGTGCCTGGGTGTCTATCGTCGAAGACCCGGTAAGTGAAGCCGAGCAGGCGGTTACGGTTGAGCACGAGAGCGTGATAGTTAATGTAGACGCTGTGCTTGCGCCAGATGGCGTGAAGATAGTAGATGTTATGTCGCAGGCACTTGTTGTTTTCGCCGAACAAGTGCTGCTGGATATACTAGAACTAGGAGAGCTGCTAGTGCTAGATTTTGTATTTGTAGAAGAGGCAGCATTGCTGGACTGTTTGGTAGGCTCTGTTGATTCGTAAGTAGGATTGCCAGCCAAATCCAACGTGATTGCCGGCATGTCTGTTGAGAAACCAGGAGGAGGGTTCACTCCATTGGGCGAGGGGATAATGCCAGGCCCTAGAGAATTTATCAGCCCGATCTTAGAATATACTACATAAATATTCAAATATACCTTCAATACCAATATTAGGAATGACAAAGCCAATACCTCCACCACAAGGAGGACAGAACCAACAATTTAGAAATGGAATGATTGGCCATCCGTGAGAGTCATGAGTTGCGGACGAGACTCCAGAAGTCGTGGTTGGTGTCACCGTAGCCCACTAGATGACGAGGGAGTTAGCTATTTCCTATTCATGAGTATTTGAAGAGAGGAGGAAGAATAAGATACTGTATTAGAAAGTGTGTAAGGAGTTGGGGTACAAGAGATGAAAAACTGCATTGCCTTACATTAAGGAAAAGAACTGCCAGTGCGGCAGTCGAAGTCGAGGGAGGTGATGTTATAGTAGAAGGTGGGAGAGTCTCTACATGGATGCTTCCTCCTGATGTCACCGTGGTCGTGATACCTGGTTTTGTCGAAATAGAAACTTGAGAAGAAGACAAGCTTGACAATGAGCCAGGTAACGAGGATTGCGATGATTTCGACGATAATGAGCCAGTACCTATAGCTATGCCCGTCCCATTTGACAGACTCGTGGGGGGCTTTGAATTGGTAACAGAAGAGCTACCAATAGATGTCGTACTTGAGGAACCGGGACCTGAATTTCTAATATTGCTTGCTGATGCCGAGCTCGACAAGGAAGTGCTTGGTGATAATCCAGCACTGGAATTTGATGTTAAGTTACTGCCGGGACTTGAAGACGACCCGCTCTTTGATTCTGATGATGATTGAGTACCGATCCCGGTCGTAGGTGCTGACAAGTTACTAGAATAGTTCTGACGACGAATCGAAGTTAAGGTGCTGAAGGTGGAATGTGCACCGATAGATGTATTGCTACTAACAGATGCATGGCCTGATACACTGTGACCAGAACTGGAGCTGCTAGCATTCCTCATAGGCGCCGATGCTGAGACGGTAGGGAAGAGTAAAGTAGAATGATCATAGACAATGGCAGAACTCCCTAATGAGATCACATCGGTGCCAATTGTGTATGCTCGGCCTTTCGAGATAGTTACGGGCTCAGACGACGGCGACGGCGCGGAGACCACGAACCCTGCCGCATCGGAACCCTTTAAAATAACAGTTGTATTGTCGATTAACAAGGTGATATTTGAATCGCGGGGCCTAATGGGGTCACGGTATTCGATTGCATCTCGTTTTGTGACTGTGGCAGAGAGATCTAGAATCTGTATAGTTCCATCGTCCATGGGTCGCTGAGCTGTCACACCTTCCTTTGGGGCTATCATTCTTGCCCCCATGCCAAAGAAAGCATAGTTATCTGCATTGTTTATTATCTTTTCATCGCTTATTTGTACACACCGCTCCCATCCTGTGATAAATAGATTTAGCTATGCTTTTCTAAGAGTATATCCGGAGTTTAAAATGATAAGTGGGATATTCAAGATATACTCTAGTATTTTCGGGACATCGTTTTGAGATATATCTTTGAGATGCCAAAATATACTGGAATAAGGGGTGGGGGAGGGAAAGTGGAAGGAAGGAGTCTCAATTGTGTTACCATATGCTCCAGAAATTCCTCCAACATCAAGAGTTCCGGGAGGAGTCGTGATTGCATGTGTCATTTCGTGAAGCAGAGTACCATCAAGTAATCTAATAATGTCCATTGGAGTTTTGGATGTTTTCACGGGGCCTAGCTTGCCCGCGAGCGCTTCCTGTGACACGGCTAGCATACCTCCGGATCCTAGGTCTCCCAAGTTTTGATATTTGGACTTCTTCATGCTCTCCAAATACCGAGGACATAATTGAATAACGGGAGGCCGGGTCGCGGTTGGTGGCATTGTCCAAGCCTAATTCGAAGTCAATACTTAGGTCGGTATTATGGCTGGTAATCAAACTACTCACTAAGTATGTTTTGGTATCAGTGGGATTGAGGCAGGAAAGAAAACCTTCACTTTGGGGGTGGAGATTAGCCTTCATGAGATTGTCGCAAGTCCAGCCAGGCCGTAGGGTCCCCGCGCAGTCTTTGTCCTCGTCTTCATTATCATGGAGGTCGAATCGCGTATAATCGCAGAAAAATATGAGTTTATCAACGCTCAAAAATTGATAGGCCCGTGTAGATGGAGTTGCTTCGGGATTCCCATTGTTGACGTTGAATTTCAGGACCGAATTATATCTTGCCTTCACAGTGTCCCACTTATCTTGACTGCCTAGCACTGCATCAAGAAATAAGTACTCCATAAGGTCTTGCTGGGCAATCGCGTCAGGTTCATCTCCTTCGTTGGGATCGTCAAGAATATCGAATGCCGCTTGGCTGAGATCAAAAGCACTTTTCATCCCTGCTGTAATCATATCTGTATATGCCGCACAAGAACCGTCCACGATATAGCCATGGCTAAGAGCAAAAAGGCCCAATGGTAGGGCAAGACTAAGTCTCATACTTGAACAAAAAGAGCGTGTTATACTGAAAATTTAACGACTGCATCAAAGACAAAAGTGACAGGATATCCTAAGAAATTGACAAAGTGAAGAAAAATTAGAGAGTATTTACGCCTCACCTTATATCAAGCTTATATAGATGGCATGCATCACAAAAAGTCAACGCTCTACATAACAAGGTTCGTATACTGCTCATTTTATTTCGATGATTGTGGTTAAAAATACCTGAAGCTTCTCCGTTGCAGCGGTAATTATGTCAAAAGGTTTTGGTGGACCTTGGTGGAGCATTTCAAAGATGCCAAGCACTCTGGTTGGCGGAATTTTGATAAGTACCCGGTCACGACAGAAATTTTGTGCTTGATGCAAGAACACTCATCCTCATGGGCTGAAAAATTCTATTCCTATCACAAGGGTCAAGGCGAAAGTACGCAAAACAAGGCCGTTTGGGAAATCAGTTGCTTGGACAGCCTCGCACTGAGCTATGTTTAGAAAAGCCGTTTCGTAGAGCTTGGAACAGCCGCCACTCAGGTCGTCGTAAAGAGGGAGGGGCTCTACGGCACAGAAATATAGCGTTCGAGACTGAGCCTCATCATTCCCAAATAGTAACTGTTAGAATATGGGCTGTATTCCGACCTTTACAGTCATGTGATATTATATGATTTAGCTTAGTCAGCAGAAGAGGCATAACCTCTTCGCGTTTATAACACCATTATAAATGCTAAGTATTAATAACTAAATATAGAACTAAGTCTATACTATATAGTAGAGAAGTGATTATATATTAAACATATAATACTAATACTAATTAGTAGTTTATCTTATAAAAGATACTATAGAGCAGCTAGGTTTTAAAGAAGAGGTAAACCTAGATATAGTAGCTAATTTCAGTTAATAAGTATCATATGTTTATACTAGAGAAAAGTAATAATAGCTTATTATCAAACCTGTGATACCAACAGTACCTATTCTTTTGTTTTACCGAAGCAGATAAGGTTAGTGGATAAGCGATGGATGTTTTATTTACTACCTAGGTATCGAATCCTGACAGAAAAGGGGCTTCGCCTACTCGTATATAAATACCGAAGGATCGGATCGGATCAACTTTAAACCTAGGCCTAGCCTAGATTCTTTTCCTATCTCCAATCTCAACATTACATCCCCCGGAACTGCTCCCACGAATATAATTCATATATATTGATAATATTCTATTTTCGATACCAATTATCTTAAGACACTCAAATATATCTAGCCAGTTGTCTTGCCCCAACGCCGAAAACCCGGCAACCCAGATCCGCGTCCTGAATTTGACCTGGGTCTTCAAATGGCCTACCAATACCACACTAATAATTCCAAATGATTTCTCTATCTCAAGCGAAGCCTGCGACCCTGCGAGCTTCACTGGCTTACCCAAGCTCATGGTATAATGTATACCTAAATAGGGAGATCGATTTCAATCCAGGCGCTTGAGGTAAACATTGATGAGGACCATTGCTAGAGGCACTAATGACGACCAAGACAGCAGAGAAGGCCAATGGCTTTCTCCCTTGGGATAAGAGCGAGTGTGCAGAAGTGGCGAATAAAAGAGAGGCGGATAGCCATTCAGGTTATCATAGAAGTTGAATCCCAAGGTATTTATTCTCTATTCCATGTTCTTACGGAAAGATTAGCAATGATACATCGTTGATTGAATAGTGGGTCAATCTTGCACATGGTGCAACTAGGGTATAGACTGGGGGTAAGGTTCTAGGAGCAATTTTATATGTTTACTAGCATACTGCAATCGTTGTTAACACGGCAATAACTCCTCCTTCGCGCTCCGCTCCCGCCTTTGCAAATTGCAGGTATATATATCTGCTCTGAGTTACTAGTTTGCTTCTGCTTTGATACATCTTAAGATTTTGGTGTGGATATGTCTGAAGTTTAATTTTATCGCTAGAGGCTAGTAGAAAGTGTCAGGAGGTTCAGCCTATCATAGAAATGGCTGCATAAGTATATAGGCGGGAAAAAGCGAGCTTGTAGATATTTTATAACAGTCTCCTAATGGATATATCTATTAAATAAAAGAAACTCTAACCTGTCTCTTTGATTGTTTCTTCTCCTTTGGTTTATCTTTCTCCAATCTCGTTGAAATACCTTTCTAGAACCCTTTCCACTTCCTCGAGCAGCTTCTTCCGATCTGCTACAATCGTTGCTTTTCTCTCATCTACTAATCCCTCAAGTCCCTCTCGCGATAGATTATCGGATACAACATGCAAGTATCCAAACAACACGCCCCTCTCCATACTTACGCGCGCCATGTGCCCAATCTCGGGGTCAACCCAGTCCGCTTTAGTTTTCCAGTCTCGTGCCCACTCCTTTGTCTCACACAGCGACGTGGCAACAGTACAATGAACACCGCTCACCACTATGCGTGATCCCTGCACCGCCCTATCAAGCACACTCTCCCATTCCACCATTCCGCCATCGTGAAACTTGCTGCAAGAACCTGTTGCCAAGACGGAATTCGGTACATGTCTCGCATCCAGCGTTCCTAGCTTCCCTATATAGATGGCCTCGCGTACGCCGCTTAGCTCACTAAGTGACCGAATCAACTGTCCGCCAATATCTCCCCAATAGCACGCCGTGCATCCAATAAACGCTACTATCCGCCCATTCTGTAGCTTGCGTTTCTTCCATGCAAAGAGAGGAGGCTCTCCCGCTCCGCTATGTGTTGCAGTTTCCCATGCCCCAGGGCCTGTAGAGTTGGGTAGCGAGTCCACGTAACCTACGATGGCAACATCAATGGGGCCTAGGTGACGAAGATTCGAGTTGGCAAAAAGAGTGACGGAGGCATCTGATGGAGGAAGTCGATAATGTACAGTTGGGATCCGGGTTCCGGTAAAGGCCTTTGACGCCACGTAGGTGGCAATCAGTGCAGCGTAATGTTCAACGTATGCATGGCCTGGAATAACACTGAGTTGCAGAATATCCCCCTCTGGCGCATAGAAAGTTTTCGCGGTTGGGCGTTGCCAGTTGAATGGTTTGTCGGCCTTTTCATTTCCGGTAATGATATCGGTTGAAGAGCGTGTATGGGCTCCGATGATGAGGATGGAGGCAAAGGTATTTGTTTGAATGGAAGTGTGGATTTTCGGGTTCACATAACGCATAAGCTTGGGTCCCATGGTGTGTGTGAGCGGGTCGGCGGCGATACGTTGGCAGACCTGAATAGAAATCAATACGACTCTTGCTCCATGATATCAACCACATATTTCCAATAAGCCCGAGAACTTGATTGAGTCTCGGCAGAATGCTAAAAGTTCCAAAGCTGGTAACTGTTCAAAGTCGTCCCCAAATGAAAGCTAGATGTCCAAAAAGTATGTACGGGGTTGAAGGATAATTTACCGTTGAGGCAAGAATTGCTGGATCATCTGGAGCCCTGTCCAAGGTGAGGGGCATGAGCTGGCTTGGCAAGGGCGAGTAAGGTGTCGCAAAAGTCGTGGCCATCTTGACGGCCTTTTCTTCGCGGGTTTCTCGTGGTGATATATGTGACACAGTTCTGAGCTACCCAAACAAAAAAAGCTGCTGTAAAGATGGTAAAATCCAATCTTAGATACAATCTAGTGCAAAGAAAACTCAAGTGGGTGGGTGCAGAAAAGTCATGTATTATCTAGGTCATACAGGATATAAACATCAATCTTGGAGTAGCTCTGAGCATATATAGATAGATAGGCTTGGAGGGTAAGCAGCAAGGGCCTACTATGACATAAATTCGTTAAGCATGGGTAGGAAGGAAGGATCTGCATTGATACTTACCATGTTTGGCTGAGAGCGCTTTAATCTGTCAGCTTTTACTATGCAACCTGTAGGCTGATATGCATATGGAAAGGCTGGACATGCCAATGTAACCCCAGCATAGGAATGGGCATAGGAACAGTATGTCAAGACCAAGCTAGCGACCTGGCCAAGGAAGGAATAAAGTCCCTCAAACTCTCCTTCCTCTGATTTGTCCGCCATAGCAAGTCCAGAGCGAGTGAGCAAATGATATTGCTGGCTATAGGAAGTGATGGAAACTTATGGGAACTAACAAATATCCTCGACATACACAGTGGGACTGTTCTCGGATTCAAGAGTTTCTGGCCATTTCATCAAGTGGGAGCCTACGTTTTATGGGGCCTGAAGGATCAATAACGTTCAAGGGGGAAAGAGAGGGGAAGGTTGGCGGGGTAAGTGGGGCAAGTGGGGACCGTACAAATAAGCATACGCCGTACATCGATAAGGCATACAAAGAATGTATGATTTCAAAAGCACCCAAGACAAGATTGCATGAAAAAGGAGTACCGGGCAGGATCAGGCAAGATTAGAGAGAATTAGGAAGGAAGGTTTGAAAAGGAGTAGAAGCGGCAGAGCGTTAGTGGCAGCTGTTCATGATCAGGAGATACTAAGATTACGAACTGACCACTTGAAGGTGACAATCACATTCTTCCTAGGGCTTGCGCATAGAGCCTTGTGGCCTTACACCTTACATGGTTGAATTAACAACGCCTCAGTGAAAACGCTTTCTATTTTTTTAGAGTCGTAGAATATTCCCTTTTGAAAGATTTTTCTGCAGGTTCGAAGGGCTAATATTTCCAAGCCTTATTAGATTCCTTATCTGTTCCACGAAACCCCCTTTACATCCACCCCACGCGACCAAGCAACTGTAAGCTCCAAATGCGCCAGTCTCCAACCCTCATGCGTTCTTGTAGACTGGAACCCGTAAGGACCTCGAAACGAATAGATCTCCCCCGGCTTATTCAGAACCGGCGTAGCGGTAAGGAATAAGTATGCAGTCCTAGTGGCTTTGTCAGGATTCTTCGAGTCGACCTCAAATTCCATATTCGTCATAGAATGCTGCGTTGCTTCGTTGCGCTCCAAAGGGACCCGGACCTTTTCTTCAATGGCAACTCGCCCGGTGGTGGTGTGGAGTCGCTCGAATGCCAAGGTGCCATCTTTGGCGTAACAGTCGGCGTAGCCTTGGAAATCCTTGACGTCGGCAACTTTGCAGTACCGGTTCATCAAAGTTGTGAGCTCATGGATTTAACCTTTGAACATTTTATTGAAAGATTTCCCAACCGCATGTAGGTATCGAACTCGTCTATCCAAACTCGACACTACATATGCTCAGTTTTCTATAGTTGTACAGGTTGACAACTTGCCGGACTGGTCCCTTTGCGGGATGAGGGTCTCGCATATGCAGAAGCTCTCGAGGAGGCAGGGTGAGTGTCTACTGCAATTTTTATCACGTGAGTGGTGTCAGCTAATAGAGAGGGTAACTTGATAGTGTAGCTGTGAGCTTGTGACATTAAAGACCTACAGCGGCTTGCCTCATGAATTTTATTTATTTCCGCAATTAAACCAGACTACTGAATATTATCAGAGTGTCGTGGATTGGGTGAGCAAATTTGCAGAACCTCCCGGGAACGTGTCGAAGAAGTAGCGATCATACTTATGTACACGGATGGTATTTTATACAGTATATAACACTGGTATGAATCTTGACTTAGAGAGAGGTTTCTAGCTTGAAAGCCGAACTATCTGAAATACCGTGACTATTGAAGTAGGACATAATCAACACATATCCAACTTGTTCAGACCCTATTCTCATTTCCCGTTGAGCCCATTCAGAATGTCTGTCTGACAAAGCCTGTAAATATTAATGGTTAACTTTTACACCACCTAAATCTTTTCGTCTACTTACAAGAGCGTTAGCTTGTTTAAAGTGTCGATGTTGGTTAACTAAGAAAGCACATTCTTTAATATTAATTCTTTAACATTTGTAACATTATATGATTCAAGCAATAATAACTAAGAACTATAGATGATTGGCCTTTAAAATCCGTTGTATGGGTAGTCGTCAGGTAGCCTCATCCAAACACTTAAGATGAGTGAGGTCGCCATGTTTCGCGCAATGATAAAGGCGATGGAGCATTACTGTAAGGAAGGACAGAATATAGGATTGGTTTTGCTAAAGTGATTCAGAATAAATGGGTTATTAGGAATGCCATCAGTCGTTGCGTGACCGCTCTTGGTCTTCAATGAAGCAGGTCACAGCCCTCTGTAGTCCAGCTACCCATAATGGGCACATATAAACATGTAGATTGTTCAAGTCCGTACGGAAGTAAATAGTGCAGGATACCAAGTGAGAGAACGTCGATTTTCGAGGCGCCTTGCGCTATGGCCAAACAAGTTAGCGGTACCTTCCCCACGGGGACCCCGGCAATGGATGTCCATCCAGCAATATAGCTCCCGGCGGAAAGACTTCAGCTCTAAAGCAGCGCGGAAATCATTGTCAATTCCTGGCATCAGTATATAAAGTGTAACACAAAGGTCATCGAAGCCTGGTGGGACGAGAGCGCTGGTACCTGGAATATAAAACTCGAGGATGTCAAGACCGGTGCCAAGTGGGACGAGTGGTCGCATGTTCTCATCAATGAGACTGGCGTTCTTTGTCGAACTCCTGGAAATGGCCAGAAATCGAAGGACTGAATGACTTCAAAGGCCCTGTTGTTCATTCTGCTAGTTGGAATCATGATGTCTCCTTTGAAGAAAAGACTGTCGGCATCATTGGGACTGGAACAAGCAGTGTCCAGATTGTTCCCCGGTTACAAAAGATTTGTGAAAAAGTATCTGTGTATATGCGCTCTCCAACATGGGTCTCCCCCCCATTTAAAGGCGGTACCTGGTCGAATGGAACCCTCTTACCCGTGATCGAAACTACCGCGGAATACGCCATCAGAATGAAGCCCATTTACAACTCATCTTTCAAACCTTTCATAGACTTAGCTGGGATTATCCAAGTCTAATTTCAAGGTCAGGTTAGAACTTTACTAGAGCAGTGAAAGGTAGTTGATCTTCTATTGAGAAAACTGCTATCTGAGCAGTCTTTGTTGCTCTTAAAACTATATATAATGCAAATGTCTATCTAATCGGGCGTCAAGCAGGATCCATCTCATCTAAATACATCAAGTCTTTTTGCTCTATTGACCACTGGTATTGGGGTACGCAAACAAGTCAGTTACATTACAATCATTACATTGCTCTATAAGGCTGTTTTCAAAAGACGTCGCAGCCACTCTATGCGTGTTGCCATAGCATGTTTCGAAAGAGGATGGGTCGGCCCCATCGCATCCGACCAGTGAAAGGCGCCTGGCCAGACGTGCAGTTCCACTTGCACGCCGTACTCCAACAACCTCGATGAATACGCTATATCCTCATCCCGAAATAATTCCGCCGAGCCCACATCAATATATACCGGCGACAGCCCCGACAAGTCTTCCGCCCGTCCAGGCGCGGCGTAGCAGCTGACGTTGTTACCTTCGGCTCGTTCGCCCAGCAAGCTCGTCCATGCGTATTTGTTATTTGAAAGGTTCCACACCACCGCATCGGCCAGCTGGTGGCGTGAGACGTAATGAAGGTCCCGATCGTCCAGCATAGGAGCTATTAGTAACTGCCCGAGGAGCTTGGGACCGTGGCGGTCACGAGCGAGAAGCGACAGTCCCGCCGCGAGGCCGCCGCCTGCAGATGTGCCAGCGAGAATGATCTTGGAGGGGTCGATGCCAAGGTCAGCGGCATGCTCGTGGGTGTATAACAGGCCTGCATAAGAGTCCTCGATCGGGGCGGGGTCTGGGTGCTCGGGAGCGAGGCGGTACTCGATGGAGACGCAGATGGCGTCGAATTCTTTGAGCCAGACCACGATTTCGTCGATATTGGTGAAACGGGTGCCGACAATCATGCCCCCGCCGTGGGTCGAGTAGAAGCAAGGACGGGGGCTGTGAGACGGAGATTTCGAGTTGGTTGGGCGGAAGATGGAAATGGTAAGGTCACTTTCTGGGCCTTTGAAAGTCCGCTGTGTGTGTCCAATGGTGCCATCCGCAGTGAGATGGTTCGCATTGGTGGGGAAAAAGCCTCGCGCTGCTTGAAGGTTCTCTGCCGTGAATGCTGGGATAGGGATGGCAGAAAGCCCAGCCAGCAGTTCTGCGTCGTAGGGTGGTCTACGTGGGGGTACAGAAGACATTTCGGATTGGAATCTGCGGGACAGGGCAGTGGATCTGAGATTACAGCTCGTGGGATATATAGGTACCTAGGTACATTCCATAGGTTCCTACCTATTCTACTTGTACTTATAACTCTTATCTATAGAACTGGAGTCCGAAGATCCCGCGGGGTACTTTCCCCGCATTATCAGCTTTACACTTCCCATAGACCGAGGGATGTGGGTTCTCCTCTTCTACGAGAAGTGTCTGTTCTGTCCTAAGAGACGGAACATCCCATTATCGGTGATAGGGCCCCGCTATTTCATACTTGCACGGTTCCAAACACCAGATATAGTCGGCATTTTAGTTCTCCCTATATTATGATATTGTCAGAATTGCAGAATTGCATTCATGAGGAAGCTATCCAGAAGCTGTACAAGCAGAGATTTTATATCTACTAGCGCCCACGTGACACAGATTCCACGTGCTTGAAAGACATTTCAACAGATATTATATCGAATCCATAGTTGCACTACATATTCGGAGACTTGTTATTATTACCTCCACGAGTATCAAATTGCATCCTGCCACACTTCTTAACTACTGCCACATCCTCAACCTATACCTGTTCCGGTTCATTCGTGAATATAAGCATTTCATGAATATCCTATTTTATTTATAGATATTAGCGCATTCACAAGTGACGTAGTTTATTTATGAATCTTAGTATAAATTCACGTATACCCTAGGTTACTAATAAACTAGTTCACCAGTGAATCTTAGCGTAGATTCACGACTGAGCTGGTCAGATTCACGAATGAACTGGAACATATAACAGATCCATATTGAAGTACGTATGGCGACCTCTCATATTGGCTAATACATATTGTTTTATACTATTCCCTACACTGAATATAAGGCATGTGCTCTGATTAGCAGATCAAGATTCAGGAGGTAAATTGTTGAAAGTTATAGGTGATGACATAACAGACAACGTCTCTTCTCTGGTGAGATATGAGGGGAACGGGGGTCGTCGGTAGATTCTGCTCTGTGTTTTTATATGACCGTCGATTGTTGTCGTCTCTTATATGCTTGAGAGAAAAATATGTTTACGAAGTAGACAAGTTAACTTAATTATTTTTAGGAACATTATTTCTAGGTTCTAGTTGTAATTCTAAGTCATGCTTAAGTTCTTTCCTGAACACCAGCACCGCTCACGTGTTGTAGTAATTCTAAGTATGAACAACTTGTAAAAGCCTCGAATTCAGTCACCGCTCCTGGTGGCGCAAAGCTATAGGATGGGTCTTTTCGGTAGAGAAAGACGTCCGATAACTCCATGCTGTAAATGATGGAAAACTATCTGCTCCGTTACACTTTGTGTAAAGACTTTGCGTATATTCGTATTGTCCATGTAGAAAAGTGAGGTCGTGAGGTTACTTCAGCCGCAATTTGCAAGGATTCCAATGTCCTACATGCGATTGGTGGAGTGGATACAACTAAGTAAAATGTGTCGTTCAGTACATCAAGACACACTTTTCTTGTACTAGATAGATGTGAAACAGTTTCAGATTGTCTGCTTGGGATGTTTTGGAGGTCGGGGAAATTGCAACTGGCAATTAGAGAGTTCGAAGAACAAATTAACCGTTTTCTTCACCCAGTCTCAGATTTAGAATGATATATAGAATTGCCACCTATTGGAACTATTGAGTTCGTATCTTTGACATTTGCAGAAAGTTTGCAAGTCTGCCGTGTTTAATTGTTAAGCTTTCGTTATTTATCCGTATAAAAGTGTAAATACCGTATCCAGACAGGCTCTTCCAACGCCGGGTATAATATAGACCGTATAGAAAATCTTCCATCGAACAAACAGGGCTGTCCTAATACAAAAACCAGGTTATCAATCCATCCTCATCCAGCCCAGACCCCCAATCCATTTTTTCTTCCCAGCACACATCAAGCACTTCCTATCCGCCCCCAAATTACTGACGGCACATCCATGGCAAACTTGCTTTCCACAGCCTGTGCATGCGTGATTCAACCCTCCCGCTATATTGACGTCCATCATGACATCCACATCCATCGCTTCTCCGTTCTTTTCTGGGTTGAGTGATGCATCGCAGTCCTCACAACTGGTCGACCGAAAGAACGAATCGGCATCCGGTATCGTCATTGGAGAAATTAATGTATCTGATGAATCAGTCGAAGAAAAGGATTGTCGACTGGAAGGAAGCGTCCAGAACGAATGCAAGCTCGACTGTCGAGCAGGTAGACACGCCACAGGTGTTTGTTGCGGGAATGAAGGAGGAGAGGTGTATAGTTGAGGTGGTGACAGCTGCTGCTGTTGCGCGGAGAAAAGAATGGATAGTGTGTGATCTATAGAAGGGATTAATAAGAATGATGTGAACAGCAAGAAGGGACGCATACGATGGACATCGGCCTCCGAGGGACGATTATCGCGGTGGCGTTTGCGGGTGCGTGAGGAGAAGAGGGAAGGTGTTGATATTTGAGGTTGATGGGATTGGACACTGTCTATTGACATGAAGGTGCTGGTGGAGAGGGGCGAGGCGAGCATGGAGCTGCTGGAGGAGATCTCGGAGTCGGAACGCTTTCGTTTGAGAACCATTGTCGCGGTGGAGGTTGATATTTTCGAACTGTGAGGAGTGAGGAATGGTGGGGATGAAGGGTGTGAATGATTTAGAGGTGATAACGAAGGGGGGAAGATTCGAGGTAAAGTTTACAAATGAAGGGGTTGGAGAGACGCGGACGTGGACGCGAAAGCGTGAACCACTTTAACTGGCGCGTCGCCAAGAGAACCTGGCCTAGGCTTGGGGGAGAGAAAAATTAACGTCGCCTATTTCTCTACAACAACTAACAACCAAATTGGAGCATTGATTAACGTGATTATTAGGCTGTACTTACTTTGCGTTTGATGTGTGTTTTTTTTGTTACCTGCTTTGAAGATCTTTGAAGACCTAAACGCAATGCTTCACGTTAATTTCCGCTTACTATTTTTGCGTCGTGGAGCTTTCTATACACGGAGAGATGGAATTGCCACCTAAAGAGTACTGCAGCAGCACCTTACTGAGGTTTAATACTTCCTATAAATATGCGTTGATATTTGAAGAAACTTGGTAATGTCTTTTGTCCGATCCAAACAAGGCAAAACTGTCCTTTGGATTGACGGAAAGTAGGTATATATCTACAGTGTCACGTTATTCGTCAACATCACTTGTCAAAGGGGTGCAAATATCTATTTACTATCACAGGATTCTTCTCCTTTTGTTGAAGTGCTTATATTGGAGCTGGAGATCTATCGCCGATATGTATTGCACCCTTCCACCGGCCAGGTGAGGAAGAAAAAGAATACGACGGCGAAAATACATTTGAAGGGCTAATATGTGATATTCTCTGCTTGCATCCGCGAATGTCCAGGAATTGGGTCGTGGTAAGTATCTTTTCCTGATTCCATTGTCCCCGTTTGCACAGCGGCGTCAAGCTTTCCTCCTTTGATCCTGCCATATATCAAGAGGCTTTGGACTATTCTGGTGAAAAACTACGCAATCATTGCGCAATCATTGACGGTCACCTATCCTGGTAAACAAAGCGCTACTGACTCCCCAATATGATGCATTAGCTGACGAGTTGCAGGACTGAGAACTATCATAAGCTGTGAAGATAATACCCATCATGTCGAAGCGACGACGTACACTCCCCACCATACCGCTCCTCTTCCTTCAACGACCAAGCACCCTTTCGCAACGGCAACTGCCAAAAGCCCTTCTCGAAATTACGTTACACTCCGAACACAGGATGGGCATGGCATGTTATTTAGAGGTAGATGCTGGACGTTGAACTGGGCAGCTTATGTGGGGACAAACTTGACTCTACCTTCGGATTAGGAGAAAATCGTCGACCACCGTTCTCAGCTCTTGTGACTCGACCACACTGCGAACGCCCACACACTTTACCTATCTTCGACATCGCAACCCCTCAAGTGCATATACACACTTCGAAGGTCCTAAGCCTCCCAGAAATATGCGCAGAATATGGACACTTCTACGAGCTTCCGGTCAACACTCATATGGCAAACTGCAAGAACAGCACAAGAGAGTACTTCGGACATCTGCGCACGGCGTCCTAGAGCGGCGCACAATACACCATCCTTGATACCTCGAATGAATGACCCACACGCCAAGAAGTCCCTGGTCGAGCATCCGCCATCGGCTCTACCTCAGACTTTCACCTCCTCAACATCATCGAACACCATGACAAGGACATACCCTGATGCTGGGGCGTAATGGAGAAACGATGGCCTTCCCCAGAGCCCTTACTTCATCGATACATTCGCCAGTCAATGATAGCCTCACGATTTCCCAACAGGCCGGGCAGAGTCTCCTTAACACACCGAACGGATAACCTTCGAACACTACGTGCCAATGACCCCTTCGAGTATGACCATCATCTCCTAACCATGAGTCGGATGGTCTTCGAAACCATGCCAAACACCACCACAAGGGCATGAGGGGTTGATTGGGAAGTGTGAGGATGATGATTATTTTGATGAAAGAGCCTGTTCTTGCTAATGGCTGGAGCTACCCGGCCGTCTGACTGTACGCAGTGGACAACTTTCCTACTAGGGTGTGCGCGACCTTATCGACGGTCTGGACATATTATATCCGAATCCTATTCCATGCAAAAGAGACAGATACCTTGCGTAGCGAATAGCCATCACACACGTTTCCATCGAGGATGCGCAAGGCAAAGCTATCTTAGGACCATAGCAGACGGAGATTCTTCGACTCTGTAGCTTGAGTTGATTGAACGCCGGTCGATTGAACGTCTGGCTCCTCACGAGAGACAAGCTAGGCTAGGGTATTCAAAAGGAATGTTCATGGCAAACCTATTTCGAAGCTTGATGGAACCTCTTCAAGACCGTAGACTCTGTCCATCGAGTCTTTCTCTCCACAAGAAACATACGAATCCAACTAGAAATACGATGCGTTGCTGTAGGAGCTCCGGAACGTCACTGACGAAAAGCATGACAATTCTGTCTCGGGCCCTCAAGCTGGGCTGGACCGCTCTGAACAGCTATTGAACTTTCAACCCATAGTAGGGGGAACTGGCTCAATATTTTTCTGGTATTGATCTTCTTTGTCAGTGCCCCTTTTCGGATATTCGCACAGTCGCCAAGCTCTCATCTTTCACCAAAACATTGCAGAGCAGTGCTGTTGTCCAATTGCCTGCTAGAGAGGCTGTTATCATTATCTGAAAATGAACATGCTACCCGTCTGCGTCGTCCTTTTCGTCTCTTCCTCTGGATCCGTTTTTCCTTCCGCACAGCCGCATTGCGATCGACTCGAAAAATGCACATGCAAGCAAGAAGCTGTCGAATGCTAAGAAGGCCATGAAGACGCGTTCTTGGAGGTAGTCTGGCGCTGGCGCTGTTCATCTTCGTTGCGAACAACTCGGATCGGCGAGCCCTTCATTTGCGTTCTTCCAAACTCTTCTTTGACTCTCAAGGTCATCGGGAGAATTTCTTTTGTGAATAAATCGCGCATGACGTTCAAGGGCATTCGGCGACGATTGTATCAGCAACAACTTCAAGGCAATCAGATCGTGCAAACATTACTATTACCTAGTCACCGCATCGACCAGATGCGCTTGCGGAGATCATTCGAACACAGCTTTAGTAGGGCTCAGGCTCCAGCAGTTCAAAGGCTGTCGTTCCTCCGTTCATTTTATGATTGGCTTCCTAACGGCATTAAACCTGGTTTAAAAGAAGTTGAGCCTTAAACTGCGCCTCTTATGTCTTTGTGCTGTTGTCATCGAAGATCTTCGCCCAAAGACACTTGGTGGACAAAGCAGGGTAAGAGAGTCTAGTGGCCTATTCAGCCATCAGACGCTACCTGCGCTACTTCCGACCTCATCTCAAAGAGTAGAACTCTGGGTGGGGCTGAGGATCCGGACTGACGGTGAAACTGCGTATTACACCGGCAAATAACACCTTGTCTTGTCGCAAATATACCCTCGGTTTTGATTTGCACCAGAAGGCGCTACAGGTTTGCTTAAGATTTCGATACCGGAAGAAACAAGTACTTTGCTCTTTCTGCCTCCGCCTCAGCAGAAGTCGTCAACGCCTCAAAAATTAGTTTCTGATGGTGATGAGGAATCTTTTTCCTCCAACCAAATCAACGACTTCGATGAACTTTGAATAGCGGACTCATCACTTAGTGCCCTGCCAATGAGTACCTATCTGTACGCTGCTATGTCAGCAACTCTGCCCTGTATATATTGCAACAGGAGACGGAAAGGGGCACGATCCAAGGAAATTTGGCAGCGGGCGCGACTCACCTTGCACCTGATACAGCTCGTACAGATGAGAGTCTCTGACGAGATCACAACAAAAAGCGGGCCTCGTATCAAACTTGGATTTATAACTACCTACCAATCGTCTGATTCATATCCAATTGCATCAGGAATCTCAATTATTGGTCCCACACAAGCCAGCAAGGAATATCCAGAATCTCCACTTCTTTGGTTGCTTTTCTTCCACTTCCACTAGTTCTTCTCTTGCCGGTTCTCTCGCGTATGCATCTTTTGCTGTCTCCGACGCCAGTTGATATTATCCTTCATGACCTTCACCTCCTAATCCAACTCTTCCTGCGATACAACAACTGGAACATAGCCCCCAGGCATGAGCTCGATATCCGCCTGGCAAGACAAATCCATCATAGAGTGTGGCGCAATGTTGGACCCCCTAGGTTTATTCGCCGACATGCTCTCCACGAGTCGAAAATCCATCTCCATTCGCACCAGATCCCTTTCTTCTTGGGTCAAATCGGTTCGCTCGACACACAATTTGTTCCACAGGTAATCCCACAAATCCATCATATACAACACATCGGCTGCGGCGTAGCTCAGGGCGACGAGCGGGATCGGGCGGGTCTCAAGCTGCTCGTAATATTCTCCTCTGATATAGGCTTTTGCTCCAGAATTGGCATCGGCCCAATCTTGGGTTTCAAAATCAGGTGCTCAGGAATCTTCGAATTGCCATATGACATCAGCCAAGCTATTCAGTCTGTAACGGGGTGGACAAGACACATACTCCACGAGCTGTGGGTCCGTGAACCAGCCAAGCTTGATCTTGAAGTGTGTCCACAGAGCATCTTGGTCCTGGCGCAGATCCCAGCCTGTCTGATGGCAGTCCTTACACCCGAGCAGCTTTCTCAAACTTTGGCCCACATTACCTTGGGTATTGAACAAGATATCTCCTCTGAGGACCTTGACATCAAAGACGTATGTGTGGTGAGTGGGCCTGATGAATAAATGAGACAAAGTCAGGCTGCCATGTCGGCCAAGGTTCTTGCCCTCAGAATCCAATGCAAACTCCGGACGCTCCTCCGAGCTCACGTTGAATCCGAGCATCTCGTCGAGAAAGGCTTCGAGAGCGGGCTGGGTCTCCACCAGTGTACGCTTTGGAGTATTGAACAGCCGTGCAGTCTCACCCAAAGTGTTGCTTTCTTCATCATCTATAGATTCTTCTGCACAAGGAATTATTAGATTTTCATAGCTAGCGGATGAATTTGTCGCAACTCACCGGATGTGTCGCTATCATTCTTGGTG